GAAAGATGACATCTGATGTTATGGACCTGGATGAATTTCTTGTTTTATGGACCTAGATAATTAGTGAGAATGGAGAAAAAGAGATTCAAAGACTGAACCCTTTAGTAGAATTCCCTGCGGTCCAGTGGTTAGGACTTGGCACTTCCACTGCTGGAGCCTGGGTTAAATCCCTGGTCAAGGAGCTAAGATCCCCCAACCTCACGGTGCAGCCCAAAACAAAACAAAATAAAACGAAACAGGAAGACTGAGCCCTTTATATAAATGTATATACATAAGTACACAAATTGGTGGTGATGATGGGATGGCGGGGCATTAAGGGCAGGCTTCCTTTTTTTTTTTTTCATGAACTAAATTTGCCAAGTGGATAAGGGGACAAAGACATCCCAGGCACGGGGAATAGTGGGTGTTAATAGAAGTATAAAACAGCGCAGTATAGTTGCGGAACTATAAGAGAGCTGCAGCTTTGGAGCAAGGCCATATTATTTTAGTATAGTTAAAAAAAAAACACGCACAACTCCAAACCTCTTCTTTGCTTAAACGGTTTGGGACTGAGCATGTGATGCTGCAGCTAATCAGGCCAGGTCTAATTGGAGGGCAGAACGAGAAGGGGAAAAAGAATTTTCCTTGTCATTTGTAAGCTGTAAAGGGGAATGGATGTAAGAATTGAATTTAGAGAAATGGATACTACCTTGCAATAGATACTACCTGTTTCTTTCAGCGATAAAAATTAAATGTGATATTAATTTTCTATCTTTTGAAGATTTGTTCCATAAAGACCTGAAAGTTACTTAGCAGGGACTGGGGTTTCTATCTGGATTGGGGGCAAACTGAAAAAAAGTTGATGTTAACTAATCAGCTATGGTTTTGATGAAATGTATTCATACACAAACAATCGCCAGGCCCCATCCTGGAAGCCAATCATTTCCGAACATGTTTTTTCAAGATGTTAGTTCGTTTTAATAGTAGGTTGTTATCCTCAAACTACCATACTCTTGGTTTTCTTTTTGTTTTTGTTTTTTTCGAGTTTGCAAAAAGCAATAACTTACGCCACAGGGGAAAAAACCCACAAAAATGCTTTTCACCAATTAAAAGAAACTCTCTCCATTTACATGTGTTTTGAACTTGAAGAACCTAAAATTTTTAAAAAGGACTTCACTAGAATAAAAAAAAAACTTTGAAAAGTAGAATCTATTAGACTCTCACGTTGTCATTCTAGGCTCCTGCAGTTAAAGACCATGTCATTATTTCCATTGTACTTACCTCCTAATTTTCAGGGCTTATTAGCCCGGCTGTAAAAACTTGCTCCGGTTGAAATTTGGCAAGCTGACAAGGCTGCGTGCCAGAAGTAATTTACTATCCAGTGTGGTTCACAAAGTAAAAGAAGCTATATATGATAGAAAAAGAAATGAAAAGTTCCTGGTTGCAAATATTTTAATGTGTGTAATGTGTGTCACCTCAAACTTTCCAGCTTTGTTGTTAGCAACGTGAGGTAACATGAAAGGTTTGAAAGGTACAGATGCTTTGCATTCACATCAAACTGAGGGATACGATGTTCTTAGGCATCAAAGACCAGACTCTTGTCTATCACTTCTGCTCTGACTTTGAAGTCTACCAGGGTTCTCTGTGTGGAGAAGCAGACAGGGGACTTTGAACAAGGTAGGGGGATGGGATTCCAGGTGTCTCTCCTCTCATTATCACTGAAATTACGTACTTCTCTTTACCTAATAATAATAACAATAATAATAATGAAAAAAAGAGAGGAACGTTTCTTTTTCTGCTGTTGTTGCTTTTTTTTTGGCTGCATCATGCGGCTTCTAGGATCTTAGTTTCCCAACCAGGGGTTGAACCCAGGCCCCAGCAGTGAAAGTGCCGAGTCCTAACCACTGGACTGCCAAGGAATTCCCTTTCCTGCTGTTTTTAACCACTGAGCTGGTGGTGAACTTAATCTTCAGAGGTGACAATGAATACTCTAGGGAAGAGTTCAAGTTTACTTTGAAATTAACATTTAAATAATTTGAAGGCCATAATAGAAATTTTAACTTGACTTGCAAACTTCTGGTTACCGTTCATCTGCCAGACTCCTTAAAAGATTGTCTTGGGACCCTAACGGAGACCCCTCTTAACTATTTTCCAAACTGTCTCGCGAGCATTGCAATGGGGCCAAGTGTTTCTTTAACGTGGGGTGAGCAGGGTACATCTTTCTGGGATTACTCTTACTTGACAAGCTGGGGAAAAACCCACAATAATTTGTATTCGAACAAATAGTAATCTATTGTGGGCTAGAATGCAAAATTCAGATGAACTCTTTCAGAGAGGGAGAAGGCTTTGGTCTTTCGTGTTTCAGTGTTTTGACCCTGCCACACTCCTAAAAATAATAGTTGAAGCTCTTGAAGAGAACAATATCCTCAAAGAGAGAGCTGGTCATTAATTTTTTCGTTTAAAGTACAATTTTCATAAAATGCATGAATCTTTTAAAAATAATTTTTATAACTTAAAAAAAATAATTAATTTTATTTTTGGCTGCGTTGGGTCCTTGTTGCTGCGCACGGGCTTTCTTTTAGTTGCGGCAAGTGGGGGCTACTCTTCGTTGTGGTGCGCGGGCTTCTCATTGCGGTGGCTTCTCTGATGTGGAGCACGGGCTCTAGGTGCGCGGGCTTCAGTAGCTGTGGCACGTGGGCTTCAGTAGTTGTGTCTCGCAGGCTCTAGAGCTCAGGCTCAGTAGTTGTGACGCACAGGCTTAGTTGCTCCGCAGCATGTGGGATCTTCCCGGACCAGGGCTCAAACACGTATCCCCTGCATTGGCAGGCGGATTCTTAACTGCTGCGCCACCAGGGAAGCCCCAAGTGCATGAATCTTAAGTGTATACCTCAATGGATGGATTTTTATATACGTATACATTCATATAATGGCCACCTAGATCAGATATAGAAATTTCCAGAACCCAGAAGGCTCCCTTGTGCCCCCTACCAGTCTGTACCTGCTTACTAATCTGACATCTATGGTGAATTTTAAAGGTCAAATAAAAGACTAAAGATATGTCAAGCTTTCTGAGGTACACCTTAGAACTCCAGACTCAAGAGCACTTTTTCTCAGGCCCTTGTGTTCCTTACTTAGAAGGTGTGCTCAGCTAAGGATTCTGAGACCCAGTGGCCATTATGCAAACACAGTTTCTCCTGCTGTTTTGGTCTTTCTCTATTAGGTGCTTTTTACCTCTTCAAGAGCTCCTTCTTGTGTTGATATTTTAAGATGTTTGTGATAGGAGTAGAAGAGTTAATATATGAGAAACTTAGAACAGTGCACATAGGAGCTGGGCACATAGTAAGTCCTAAATAAGTGATAGCTATTATTATGAGATACAGAAGAGACACAAGAAGGCTTTGCCATTACCGTTATGATAATTCCTAGAGCAAGATAAGCATAGAAGCTAAATTTGAAAATAAGGGAGGAAAGTGTTTATAGTTGGGTTGATTTGATGTAGTTATCCATCAAATTTGCCTTGAAAGGAAAGATTACAATCTCTCAGAGCTTGCTGACTCCTTTGACCTAAAGAACATTTAGTACATTTTCTTATTCTGTCATGATTTTACTAATTGAGTGCTTATTATATTTTAGGCGTTGTTCTAAGTGCCCGGGTATCGAAGTAGACAAAACAAACAAAAATCCCCTGCCCATACGGACCTTAATTTCTAGTGGCATTCCTGCTCTTACTGTTAACACAGGCCCCTAAAGACTTTCCTATTACAAAGAAATTCCATCTTTGTTTTACATCCACTTCCCTCACGTCTTAGAGCTGAGGGGATCAAGAATCAAGCCAACCTTAGCCTAAATTCTGAGACCAGTGGAAAGAAAAGGCACAAGGGTCAAGGGTGGAACTCTTGCTAAGCATATATTCCTCTTTAATAAATCACACGGAGGATCAAGGTGCTAATGCCAATGTTGAAGTAAACAGGTCTAGCAAGAACTCCAGCTTTGGTTTTTTAAATCATCTTCCAGAACTTAAAAAAAACTGAGCCATGTAGTTAATATTTTAGGTTTAGTAATTACACCAGCAATGTCGCTTTCAAGCTCGGTTGTCTGACGGTTCTCTTAGAAATGCTAAGTTGCTTGGGCAAAGGTTTAAGGAGGGTCTATATCTTATTGATTCTTCTTTGGGTAACTCCCAAACTTTTCAATACCAAGATTCCCTTTTCTAAAAAAAATACGGTTTCTGATACCCACCCAGGGCCATATTTTGAAAGACTGCGTCTACAAAGCCAGTATAGTGTTTTAAGTAATAAAAATGTCTCCCCATTTAAAAATTAACCAGCCGTCTAATTGGCACATGGAAAACGAGTATCACACTGGTTTACTAAATCTAGTTGAAACCAAAGACATAGTGTTTGGGACAGCCTGATCCATTTTAGCACCCCCTACAATTTTCATTACACCTCATTGAAATGTTTACTATAATTTTACAATATCCTCTATCCTTTCCCCTCGGTTTGTTTGTATTTTTAAAAAAGTATTTATTTATTTAATTGCGCTGGGTCTTTGTTGTGGCTTGCGGGCTCCTTAGTTGTGGCATGCAAACTCTTAGTTGCGGCACGCACGTGGGATCTAGTTCCCTGACCAGGGATGGAACCTAGGTCCCCTGCATTGGGAGCGCAGCTTCTTAATCACTGTGCCACCAGGGAAGTCCCGGTTTGGTTGTATTTTGGTTCTTGGTGTTGGAAATCAGAATAAAAGGAGACAATATCTTGGAGAAAATGCATTTCACGCCCCTTTCAGGTAACCCCTCTAGACCCGAGGTGATTTTCGCGATCCCAGATCCCGCGCACGGAGCCCCACCCCCATCCTGGCCCCACCCCTCGACTCCCGTCCTCTTGAGTCCTCCAGAGAAGGGGGGCGGTGCTCGTTGCAAACCCACAGTCAGTCGCCAGGGGGAGACAGCGGCTGCAAGAGCCAGGGGTCCCTGTCCAAGGGCCAGGCGGCGGAAGCGGAAAAGGCGGGACTTGGGGCGCACGTTACGTCAGCACGTGCGAGCGACAAGGCCGGGTGCCCGGAATAGAGAGGGGGCGCTTCCTGTGCGTGTTGGCTGTGAGAAGGTCTCTGCCGGGTTGTAGAGTTTGACCTCATGGCGGAGATAATTCAGGAACGCATAGAGGATCGACTCCCCGAATTGCAACAGCTGGAGCGCATTGGACTGTTCAGTCGTGCGGAGATTAAGTGAGAGAGCGGAGGAAGAGGAAGGGCTGGGGCGGGTAGAGAGGGGAGGCTGGGGCGTGTGTGTGGCGGGGGGCAGGGATAGGGGACACTTGGGTTGTGTTTATATTTTCTAATGTGGTAGAAGCCCATTTCCAGATTCTGATGATGCCTAGAATTAATTTCTCATTCATTGCAAGGTGATCCGTCCATTTACCCCTCAAACATACAGACAGCTCTTCATGGAGGAGGTTTTGAGGCTATAAAGGGGATAAAACCAGGATACCCGCCCGTCAAGAGCTAGGTGCCCTGACACAGTATGGTGGGGGAGACAGACAAGTGAAACATTTTGATCACGGTGCAGCGTACTGTAAGTTGATTGTAGTAGAGTACTGCCCTAGAGATGTGAACAGAGAGCCGTGGGAGCCCAGGAGGAGTAGATAATTCTAACAAAACTTGAAGATGGGGATCATTAAATTCGATTTTATATTTTACCCCAGGGCTTAGCCAACAACTAGTATATAGTTGTTACTCATTAATTTGTATAATAGTTTTTAATAGTTACTGTGACTATTTCTTCATTTTACAATGACTGCGAATGTAGTACTGTGGCTATGGGAACCTTAAAGTAAACATTTGTTTATGAAACGCAACATATTGTGGACTCTTTAATAAGAGTGGACTCTGTATTTAGTTCATTCCTTAGCTAAATACAGTGAGTCTTCTCCCATAAGCTCTTTGCAGTAGTGATATAGGTAGAGACAATCTAGGTTTTTTTTTTTTTAAATCTACCTGTTGAAAATTCAGAAATAAGAGGAATTTAGGAAAGAAATTTGATTATTATTAAAACCCAAGTGACTTGAATTTGGAGGAAAAGAAATCTCTACTAATACCACATATAAATAATGTAAAGTACTACTTAACATTATTTACTTTGCTGGTGGGAATGTCAGTGGTCCTGGCAATCGATTGATGTGATTTTCATGAAAGTTTTAAGGTACATCTTCATGCCCTTAAGACCACAGAAGTCCTGAAACTAGTATATTGTAAATCAACTATACTTTATAATAATAATAAAAAAGAACACAGAGGTAATTATGTAAGAGAGTATGGGGACTTCCCTGGTGGTGCAGTGGTTAAGAATCTGCCTGCCAATGCAGGGGATATGGGTTCGAGCCCTGGTCCCGGAAGTTCCCACATGCCGTGGAGCAACTAATCCTGTGCTCCACAACTACTGAGCCTGCGCTCTAGAGTCTGTGAGCCACAACTACTGAAGCCCGCATGCCTAGAGCCTGTGCTCCACAACAAGAGAAGCCACCGCAATGAGAAGCCCCCGCACAGTAGGGAAGAGTAGACCCCACTCACCACAACTAAAGAAAGCTCACAGGCAGCCACGAAGACCCAATGCAGCCAAAAATAAAAATAAATAAATTTATATTTAAAAAAAAGAATATGTACTTGCTTATGAAGGATAATTATTTGGGAATTATATATTTTGGCAAATAGATGTTTCAAATATATTAAAAATAAACTTTAAAAATTCCAAAGTTATTTATTTAATTTCTTGTTTCAAGTGTTACATTTTAAATGGCTTTCTCCTTAGGGCTATCATTAAAAAGGCTTCAGATCTAGAATACAGAATACAGCGAAGAACTCTTTTTAAGGAAGACTTTATCAATTATGTTCAAGTAAGTGAATAATTTTATTACTTTTTAATACCCTCACAAATTTAAAATCAGTTATAGAACAGTGCGCTTGATGTCAGTTTTCTACAAAATTCTGGAACTGATGATTAGACAGGTAATTTTTGAACAGGAATAGAGGTAATTTGGTAATAGTGTTGCTCCACTAAGGCTTTGGTCCTTGGCAAACTGAACATTTTTTTCTTCTATAGGGTTAGTAGATCAGAGTCTGCCAAAGACCCAGTGTATCAGGATTTCAGCAAGAGGTTTGATCAATTATGTCTTGTGGGGAAAAATAAAGGAAAGTGAGTTTGATGATAGCACATGGTTAGGAAGTTAATGCTTATGTGCCTGAGGTCTGTCTATTTAGAGAGAGGTGAGGTATACTGCAAGATTCTTCAGCCCTGTAAATGAATGGAAAATTTGATTGAAGATAAAATATACATGCTTGGGACTTCCCTGGTGGTTCAGTGGTTAAGAATCCGCCTACCAATGCAGGGGACACAGGTTCGATCCCTGGTCTGGGAAGATCCCACATGCCGTGGGGCAGCTAAGCCCGTGCGCCACAAGTACTGAGCCTGCACTCTAGAGCTTGCATGCCGCAACTAGAGAAAGCCCATGCACAAGCAACGAAGACCCAACGCAGCACCCCCCCTCCAAAAAAAAAATATACACACACACACATGCTAGATCAGTTTTCAGTGGGAGAGAATAATGTGTTGGATGATAAAATCAGGATTCAGAAAGAATCCAATAATAAGATGTTATAAATCCTCTACTTTGGGACTTCCCTGGTGGCGCAGTGGTTAAGAGTCTGCTTGCCAATGCAGGGGACACGGGTTCAAGCCCTGCTCCGGGGAGATCCCACATGCCGTGGAGCAACTAAGCCCGTGCTCCACAACTACTGAGCCTGCTCTCTAGAGCCCGTGTGCCACAACTACCAAAGCCCGCACGCCTAGAGCCTGTGCTCCGCAAGAAGAGAAGCCACTGCAATTAGAAGCCCACACACCGCAACAAAGAGTAGCCTCCGCTCTCCGCAACTAGAGAAAGCCCGCGTGCAGCAACGAAGACCCAACACAGCCAATAAATAAATAAAATTAAAAACCAAAACAAATAAATCTTATACTTTAACACTAATAAACATTATAAAAGGTTCTAAGTTTAGCTTTTAAAAAAACCTACTGGATGAACAATATATGAGACCTGGCTAAGAATCTTGTATTTGAAGGAGGTCCTAAAGCTCAGTAGATTGCTATATCCAAATAGATGAAGAAGTATGTCATGTCAAAACATATAATCTAAGTGATTACATGAACAGAAGTAGAGTGTTGGGTAAGTTAGCTGAGCAGAGGAGGTTGCAAACAGTAGGCACTCAGAAGACGTTGGTTTGAAAAAATATTTTGCATTTATCAGACTATGTCTGGAGCACTGTCAGCTCAGGATGACATTTTAAGAAGGACTTTGACATTTTAAGACGACTTTGGTTAGAAGGCAGCCAGGATGTAAACCTTGTTCTGGGAGGAATCATTGAAGGAAATGGAGATGTTTAACCTTAGGGAGACTTAAGAAGTGGCAAATAATTTCACGCTTCATATATTTGAAGAGCTATGTGTGGATTAGGTTGATTTGTTTAGTTTTAGAGCACAAATTGAAATAAGTTGATATAAAAACTCACATACACACCTCTCTTACATGTATACCCCCTCTGCCTGCACACAACCATATATACTTGCTATGAGACATAAGTGGCATTTTATATTGAGATTCTGATTATCCACATTGAAAACATAAAAGTAGATCCCTTCCTCATGCAAAAATAAATTCCTATGGAATTGAATAGCTAAATGTGGTGGGAAAACTAAATCTTCTACAAAAAAATATGAATGACTTCAGGTAGGGAAAGTTTTTTTTTTTCTAAATTGAAGTATAGTTGAATTACAATGTTGTGTTAGTTTCTGGTGGACAGCAAAGTGATTCAGCTATCCATATGTATACATATTTTTCATATTCTTTTCTATTATGGGTTATTTCAGGATACTGAATGTAGTTCCCTGTGCTATACAGTAGGATATTGTTGTTTATCTATTTTATATATAGTAGTTTGTATCTGCTAATCCCAAACTCCTAACTTATCCCTCCCCCATCCTGTTTCCCTTTTGGTAACCTGAGTTTGTTTTCTATGTCTGTGGGTCTGTTTCTGATTCGTTAGTAAGTTCATTTGTGTCATATTTTAGATGCCATATATAAGTGATATCATATGGTATTTGTCTTTCTCTTTCTGACTTACTTCCCTTACTGTGATAATCTCTAGGTCCATCCATGTTGCTGCAAATGGCATTATTTTATTCTTTTTTATGGCTGAGTAGTATTCCATTACGTATATATAGCATATCTTCTTTATCCATTCATCTGTTGATGGACATTTAGGTTGCTTCCATGTCTTGGTAAATAGTAAATAGTGCTGCTAGGAACACTGGGGTGCATGTATCTTTTCGAATTATAGTTTTCTCTGGATGTATGCCCAGGAGTGGGATTGCTGGATCATATGGCAACTCTATGTTTTTAGTTTTTTAAGGAAACTCTATACTGTTTTCCATAGTGGCTGTACCAGTTTACATTCTGGTAGGGAAAAGTTTCTTAAAATGAAGAAGACTGTGAAAGCACAAACCATGAAAGAGAAGATTGATTTGACTATGTTAAAGGTAAAAATTTCTGTGCAAAAAAGACATCATAAATAATGTAAAAAGATAAGGCACAGAATGAGAGAAAATATTTGCAACATATATAGTCAGAATCTAGAATATGTAAAAAACTACAAATCAAGAAGAAATGACAAACAAGTGGAAAGAAAATGAAAACAACTGGAGAAATAGGTACATGCAGTTCACAAAGGGGAAACATCAGTCATTGGTAAACTTTTGAAAAGACGTTAGCCTCGTTAGTAATCAGGTAAGTATTGATTAAAACCAGGGTGCAGTACTACTTTATACCCATCATATTAATAAACGTTTTAAAGACTGACAGTATCAGCATATAATTTGTCCCACCACTTTCAAGAGCAATTTGGCAATATCCCATGAAGTTGAAGATGCATGTACTGTGTGACCCAGCAATTTCATTCATTCAGTCATACAGTATATATTGAGTACCTGTTATGTACATGACACTGATGGGGTACAACAATAAATTAAGCAGACAGAAATCAGGTTCTTGAGGAGCTTACATGTTAGTGGTAAAGTTCCTGGATATATCCACAAGAAGATGTGTACAAGAATATTAATTGCAGCTTTTTGTAATAGAAAAATTGGAAACAAATACGCATCACAGGAGGAAGGAAGGTAAATTGCACGTTCATATAATGAAATGCTATACAGCAGTTAAAATGAATGGACTTGAATTCTACATGACAGCAGGGATATATCTAAAGTCAAAATGTTCAGTAAAAATATGGAGTGATGGGTTCATTCAGTATGATACCAGTTGTATAAAGTTTAAAAGCATTCAAGACAACATTATAATGAAGTTTGAAGTCATGCTTGTGAACGATAAACACCTGAGTCAAGATCATCATTTCCTCTGGAGAGGGAGAAGAGTGGAATCAGACATGGGGGGCTTTGCCTTTATTTGAAATGTTTTATTTCTAAAAACGTTTTGAATCAAATATAGTAAAATGTAGGCTTTGACATAGCTGTGTGGTAGCTGCATGGGTGTTCTGTATGCTTCAAATATTTCATAAGACAGTTTTAAAATGAAGCATGCAATCTCGTAAGGTTCTGTGCCTTCTGTCTCTAGTAGTCTTCAAGCTTAGAGAGGAATTATATAGTAGTGGTTTTTGGAGAGTCTTAGAGGTTCTCAGTGGTCCTTTGGAGGCAAGGGTAGGGAGAGCCAATTAGGTGCCCTGTTTCAGCTAGTACAACCCTGTTTATCTGCTTTATTTGCTTGTGCGTCAGCTAAAATTTTTGAATGGTTAGTTTCCTAAAAGTCTGAACACACCGTTGTAGACGAGGAAGTTTGATATTGTAAATCTTAGAAGTCTTAGAGTTTTAGTAACATGCTTTCTTTGTATCTAAGATGTTTAGATGCATGCTAATGTATGTATTTTTGAGTTTTGCAGATGTAAGGTGAATTTTTAGTGAATGCTAGACATTTACTGTAAATTAGGTTTCTTGATAGCAAATTATTTTCTGCTTTGTGTTCTTGATTTTTATTTACTTTATGATTTTGACTAAATGCATCTCCTCTATATAAAAGGTTATACTTTTTCTTGTTTTCTCTTTTTTTGTATGTTTTTCTTTCATAGTATGAAATCAATCTTTTGGAACTGATCCAGCGAAGACGAGTTGTAAGTAGATGATTTTCTGGAAGTTGGAAAAAAATATAGAATTAAACAGTGTGACTGCAAAGCTAGAACTTGGGTTTGGGAAGTAGTTGGCATTGATAATTGTGTGGTGGTGTGCTCATAATGATACTTGTAATTATTTGCTTTCTCTACCAGTACTGTTTAAAGATCAACTGGGAATGCTGCTTTGGATAAATGGGATTAAACTGAGGCTTTTTTTTTTTTTAATGTCCCTTTTTAGCGTATTGGGTATTCATTTAAGAAGGACGAGATTGAAAATTCTATCGTACACCGGGTACAAGGTGTCTTCCGACGTGCGTCAGCCAAGTGGAAAGTATGTGTTCAGAGCGCCCTTAGCTGTAAGGGATGTGACGATGTGTATTATACGTATTATGAATATGGATATTCAAATGTATGGTTGTGGATTCTTATCTTGGGTATCTCAATACTTATTCTAATGATAATATCATGACTTGAAACCACTTATGAAACCATTAAGAAAATTGATCGCATTACCTTAGAGTTAGTCTGTGAGGATGACGCTGAAAACAGTGGATTTGATTCCTATTTAAGGACCAGAAAATTGTCTGGGATTTGGATATGTCTCTAAATAAAGTACGCCGAGCTGGGGTACTTGGAGGTGGAAGATAAGGTCAGAGTAGGCGCAGCACCTCAGTAACTTGGTTTTCTTCAAGTTTGGTTCTGGGACCGGGATATATTATATGGGAAGTACTTTGGATTCTTGGGAATGACAAATTTTAGTTTGCTGCCTCTGATTGAGACCATTTCAGAAGTGCACTGAACAAATTGGATAGATGACAAATTTTGTCTTAGACCATAGTAGGTGGGAGTGGGGGGACGGAACAAGTTGTCATGGTTAAGAGATCTAAGGTGGGTAAGGAGCAGCCTAATAGGCTGAGGGATGTGGCACATTGGATTTTCTGAAATCTGCCTCTGTTGCAAACAGAATTAATGCAAAGGTGTATTGTATATAAAATTCAAACTCAGGCAGCTTACTCCATTGCTTTTCTTGCAGGATGATGTTCAACTTTGGCTGTCTTATGTAGTCTTTTGTAAGAAGTGGGTGAGTATTGGGCAACCCTGTCTTGGTCCCTCTTTCCTGCTTTTGGTCAGTCTGCATTTTAAACCTCATCCTTGACTACTGAACTCCATGTTTTCTCCAAAGGTGTGTAAGGTTAACAAATGGGAAAAGAACCCAAGAAGCCTGTTGCATATTTGAATGACTATATAAATGGCTTCCATATCAGCTGAAAAGAAAAGGGTGTTTATGCATATATGTTCAGTTAAGTTGAAAACATTTTTTAGATATTTAAAATGTTTATGTTAAGTGGTTTAGGTAGAAGAGAACCCTGAGTGAATCTGTATTTGTTTATATGTCCTTAGCAATAGCAGATGTCGCCGCCTCATTGGAGCTCATAGTTGGTGAGGGTACAGTGCAGATCACTTAGAGTTTAATAGCAATGACTTTGCTGTGCAGGAAGTAGAATTTTTCTTCTTTTACAGGCTACCAAAGTTCAACTTAGCAAGGTATTCTCTGCCATGTTGGCCATTCATTCGAACAAGCCAGGTATGGTGAAATCCTTGTCAGTTCTTTTTCTACCTTATTTGTAGACTCAAGCCATTTTGGAATTTATTTTGCTTGATAAACCTAAGAGAATTATTTTGAGAACTTGAGCATATGAACTTGGCCTCAGCAGTTTTTATTCCTGAATAGCTGCCTCTTAGTTCATCCCTGCTACTGTGAACTAGTTACTGTGCCAGGTATTGTATCTGTGAGCAAGAAGGACTGAGTTTCTTTTTAGCTGATGGTGAAAGAAACTCTTCAGTCCTTTGAGGGGAATTCTGTTTGGAGGCAGTCAAGTCTGAGGATTTCAGAAACATAAAGGGGAAAATATTAATACAGATTTTACAAGAGCGATTAGCACAGAGTAGGTACTCAAGTTTTGTAAGAGAAGGACTTCTCTTGTGAACACTGTGTAAGCAGTACGATATTTTATAGTGAAGGTGCTTCAGTGTCTGTTCTGGAGTATTAGGTTTACAGCGCACGAGACTCAAAATCGGTTACATTTGGCACCGGTTGATTCCGAAGGATACAACAAGACAGCGTTAGTACTGTCAGCCGTTTAGAGGCTTGTCTTTGGTGGGAGGGCATGAGAGCACGGGAGTGGGCAGAGGAGCCCCACTGGCGTAGAGGACCCCTGGATGGGTGCAGCTTCCAGGTATTATATCTGTGAACTGTGCTCAGTTTCAGGAGTCACATGCTCAAGAAAGCCCAGAGCAGTGGCTGTCTACCATTCATAGCCCTCCTCGTCCAGACACAGTTAAAAAACGTGGGTCATTTTTACCAAAAGCAATCTTGCCTGGTAATAGCTGATCTTTTTTTTTTTTTAATATCTTTATTGGAGTATAATTGCTTTATAATGGTGTGTTAGTTTCTGCTTTATAACAAAGTGAATCAGTTATACATATGTTCCCATATCTCTTCCCTCTTGCGTCTCCCTCCCTCCCACCCTCCCTATCCCACCCCTCTAGGTGGTCACAAAGCACCGAGCTGATCTCCCTGTGCTATGCGGCTGCTTCCCACTAGCTATTTATTTAACATTTAGTAGTGTATATGTGTCCATGCCACTCTCTCACTTTGTCCCAGCTTACCCTTCTCCCTCCCCGTGTCCTCAGGTCCATTCTCTGTGTCTGGTAATTGCTGATCTTTATGAAGTTTCTAGGGAGATAGCTAGAATGTTACCTCAAGGTTAATTTCTTATGTAGAAGGACAAAGGTTTTTTGTTTGTTTGTTTGAAGACTTTATTCCCTGTAGGTACGATAAAAAATTTACTTTAAAAATTGAGTCATTTGAAAAAAACTATGAACTACTTTAAATACAGAGAAAAGAGCAAAATAATTTATTTCACTGACTCCAAGATGCACAATTTTTTCCAGCATTTTAAGACATTAAAAATTTGTATGTGAGTTAATGATGATGTTGACCTTAGATCTGATGGAATAGAGTAACGGGCACATAAGTACCCACAGATGTTAACATTTACAGATTTGGTTTAGAACACTCTAAATTTTAGGTAAAGCAACAATACTTTACAGATAACCATTAGAAATTCCCCATCTTCGTCCTCTTCCTCTTTTGCTAAGATTTTAAAGAAAAGATCTTTGGGTATCAAAATTGGTGCATTGGTCTTTTCATACCTGACTTGATTACTTTATTGAAAAGAAGTCTGATGTTTTTCACTTACAGCCTTGTGGATTATGGCGGCCAAATGGGAAATGGAAGATCGCTTGTCTTCAGAAAGTGCAAGACAACTATTTCTTCGGGCTCTGCGCTTTCATCCAGAGTGCCCGAAACTTTATCAAGAGGTGAGTGTGTGTGAACATAAGGTGAGAGTCATGTCTTAGTTTGGTCCTCTGGAGACGTATATACTTTATTAAGTTAAAAAGGCTTCGATTTATGGAGACTAGGAATAAGTAGCGGAGCTGCTGGGGAAAAGGGGTCAGAAGGGTATTTCTTGGCCAGTAGTAGGTGTTGACTTTGCTCATCTTCCAGGTTTTCAGTGAGAGATTGGAACTCCTACCTGTCCATTACCGTGGGGAGGGATAGGGAACTGGACCCTACCTTTCTTTACTTGAGGGTCAGGGTTCAGCCATCTTTATATCTTTGTATGTATGTATTCATTCATTCATTCATTTATTCCCCTCCCCTTTTCCTGCTCTCCCCTCCCATCCCCTTCCTGCTTCTTTTGGCTTCCCTTGCCGTTTTCCCCACTTTGTTCTCATTCTCTTCATCTAGTTTTCTTGAGATAGATATTTCCTTCCCCTCCTGGTGGACTTATTCTCCCTTGAGGGGTGCACTAGAACAATGAATGATAGCCAGATTTAATTTTAAAAAACCCTGACAAATGCTAGAAATGACATATTATTGAAACTGCACCCTTTTCTGAGGTATTTGTCAGAATAAGGGAGAAACTACTGTTGAACCATCAAAGGAAAATTAAGCCCTGTGTGATGAGGGAGACCCTCATTAAGACCCCTATGTGTGATAGGTCTTAAAGCTAATAGGTTTTGTAGCTGTTTCAACTGTATTTTGGTTTTGTAGTAATTTAATGTTTTATATTAGAGTCTTGCGTCCTTTCTCTTCATATTCTGTTAGACAGTTCTTTGTGGCCTTTATTATTTTTATTGAGAAACTATTATAAGAATCAGTCATCCCTGCTATTAGAGTGCTATTGTATGGTGTTATTGTTTATGTTTTTTGGAGGCTTTCACAATTGCCTAGACTTGTATTTTCTAAAATGGAAATAGAATTTTTGCTTATTCTTATCAAAAGTAAATAGAATTTATTTATTATAAATGGTTCAGAGAAAGCAGTTTTATGAAAAAAGTAACAGAAAAAGTACTCATAATTTTACCTCCCATACTTTTATGCATATTACAGATATTTAAAACAGGCTTTATTCTGAAAAGTGGGATTCTACTACACATTTTTGTGTTCTATATTTTTACCTAATACATCACGAATATAGTCCCATGTTAGTATATATTAATTTATATTAGTGATATTCAAACTTTTTGGTCTTAGGACCCCTTTACAATCTTAAATTACCGAAATCCCCAAGGATCTTTTGTTATATGGGTTATCTGTTAAATTTTATTTGAAAATTAAATATTTAATTGAAATTTAATTGAATTGAAAATTAAAACCAAGAAATCTAAAAATATTCACTTAAAAATAATAAACCCATTACATGTCAATATAGGTTACTTACTTTTAAATGAAAAAAACTCTTCTGAAACAAAGTTTAAAGAGAAGAATGGCCTTATTTTATATAGTTTTAACCTTGTAGACCCCCTGAAAGGGTTTTGGGAACCTCCAGGTATCTCCAAGTCACATTTTGAGATATACATTATCTGTTCTGATAGTTGCATTTGTTAAAAAAAATAAAGATTTTAAAAAAATTTTCCACTCTAAAAGTAATATGTACTTTGTAGAAAATCTTGGGAAAAAAGCCAGAAAAGCACAGAAAAGGAAAAAGTGTGACTGATTGAGGACAAATACTATTAACATTTCTTCATAGGCTTTTTTCCTGTGCACATTTTTTACATAATGTTAATTGTGTTATATGCAAAATTTTATAGCCAGCTTTAAAAACAAAGTAGAATATCACTAGAAATGTGGTGCACCATTACTAAACTATTGTAACTGTTTTATGGCCGCATCACCAGTCTGCTTCTTTTATAATATATTTTACTTTCCCTACTTTTAGACACTTAGATTGTCTGCGTTATTTGCTCTTATACCCTTGTGTATGAAACTTCTAGGTATTTAGGATTATTTCCTTATGATCGATTTCTGGAAGCAGAATTTTTGGGTTAATGAATATAAACATTGTTTTTTGTTTGTTTGTTTTTGTTTTTGCGCTACACGGGCCTCTCACTGTTGTGGCCTCTCCCGTTGCGGAGCACAGGCTCCGGACGCGCAGGCTCAGCGACCATGGCTCACGGGCCCAGCCGTTCCGCGGCATGTGGGATCTTCCTGGACCGGGGCACGAACCCGCGTCCCCTGCATCGGCAGGCGGACTCTCAATCACCGCGCCACCAGGGAAGCCCAAACACTGTTTTTAAACTTGTCATTTTAATATGTCTTCTAACATAGAATTCAAAGTATTAAAAATTCTGGACAAATCCAACTTTGTATTATGTGTTAACCATATGTTTGTATAGAAACATTCGGGAGAGGGAATTCCCTGGTGGTTACAGCAGGGACCCGGGTTCGATCCCTGGTTGGGTAACTAAGATCCTGCAAGACACGTGGCGCGACCAAAAAAAAAAAAAGCCTTGTCAATGTCAGCTAGTTTCATAACAAGATAGATTATAACACTCCCTCCACACTTCCCCAGATCTGATATTTATGAGTAAAAAGAGGCATGTTATATATTTTTAATTAGAAAATTATCTCCAAAGGTTTTCAGTTCATTATTTCCCTTCTGTGTTAGTATTTTAGGATGGAGCTGATGCATGCTGAGAAACTGAGGAAGGAAAAGCAAGAGTTTGAAAAAGCCAAGATGGATGTGGTAAGATCCTAATGCATTGTCACCTGTTAACAAGATATAGTGTTTTGAACCTGCTTAGGAGTAACAGAAAATCTTTAGGAGCACTGTTCGTGACTTGCCGGTCTGCCCGTGGCTGGCGGGTTCCATTCCAGTGCCACAGCAGTTCCAGCACCACGCGACTGACTGCCTGGTGGCTCTTGGTTTCAGGTCTTGGAGACAAAGTGGGAATAAAAAAGAAAATCTTTAGAATGTACTTTTCTTTCCAACTTAATATTTTGAAACTTTTAAATGTCTTGCATTGATTTAACTAAAATGGGCTTAGTAATAAAAATGGAATTTTGTGCTTTAAAAATAGACATTTGGACTAATTGGAGTGGTCCTTGAAATTATTACTGATGGAATGGCTACATACTGTTCTTTATGATCTCATTAAATGATATGTTAATGGGTCGAAGGAGCTCAAGAAAGGTTGTGAAACGTGTGATTCCTAGCCTTCTTTCTTTTCCTTTTTATGTAATTTTTTACGTGACAGAGTAAGTTTAAAGAAACAAGTTTGAGAATATTAGAGCTGAAAAAGGAACTTCACTATCACCTGTTATTGTGGTTACCAGCTTTGAACTTTTTTATCCAAATAAAATCTTACACAGAAGGGTGAACGTGGCATGTAAAACTTGACCTATTCTGGTCTAGGTAGAGAGTGAGGCCTTAAGCCGTGTAATCTTGCTACAACTCTGGGAGCCTGAGAATACAGTGGAAGATCAGTGATCTTATTCAAGCTGTACATTTCACAAGTGAGGGAACTGGCCCAGAGAGAGACGTAATTTGCCAGAGGTCATGTGGCACAGGTAGTCTAGGATTGTTAATTTTCATTCTAGCGCTATTTCTACTTACTGGCATTACCCGTTCAGTTGTTTAATATCGTACTCTTTAGGGGAATCTCGAGTATGCTGAAGAAATCCTTATGGGCGAGTTGGCAAGGATCATCTACAAAAATTCTGTAAACATAATTAAAAGTAGGTATCCTTTGAAAATTTATTTATGGTGGGAAAGTGAAACATTCAATTTATAATGAGGAACCTTTAGCCTATTTTGAAAATTTCTGTTAGAATGTGTATAAAACTCTGATTGTAGGGAATAGTGCCCCGATTCTTTCAGAAAAGGCTTATTTCCCCTTAGATTATAACTGAACATTTCAATAAGTTTTTGAGTACTTAAATCATGTGGGGAGTTGAAAAGAATAAATGATTTAGTACATTCTTTTGTGTCCTAAAGATGCTTAGAATAAAGTCCTTAATGAATACTCAAATATTAATAATGACTTTGCTTGTATAGTGGGACCATGGGTGATTTTTTTGTTTTATCTTACTTCCCACTTTATAAAAAAACCAAAACTAACTCCAGTACTTTAAGAAAGTGCTCCTTTAGAGTCTTACTCCCCTCCCCCGCTTTTTAAATTTTAGGTGCAGAATTTCATGTGTCACTGCTTTCAATTGCACAGCTATTCGACTTTGCCAAAGATCTGCAAAGAGAAATTTATGATGAGTAAGTAAAATAGTGGAAAAGTGAATATGTCTGTTTTGATCTTGTGGTAAGGGTTTGAAGTTGGATATTTAGAAAGGGGGAAAGAAGATACCATACAAAATCCTTGGAAGAAAGCTGTTTTAGGACTATTGTATAGTATTTTATGTATACATAAAAAGTGTATTTTTGGAGAAGTTGTTTGACTCACTTACTGGCTTCCCTTGGGAAATAGTTTGCCTTTGTTCAATAAGAAATATGTCCTATAGCTTATATAAAAATCTATATTCCTGCTTTCCTGGCATGTCTTTTGTCCTTAAGATGAGAGTTGTACTCATGAATGTTTATAGTTGAGTGCTGCAGGTAATCAGACATTATTCTTTTTTTAAATTTATTTATTTAATTTATTTATTTTTGACTGCATTGAGTCTTCGTTGCTACGTGTGGGCTTTCTCTAGTTGTGGCGAGCAGGGGCTACTCTTCGTTGCGGTGCATGGGCTTCTCATTGCAGTGGCTTCTCTTGTTGCAGAGCACGGGCTCTAGGCATGCGGGCTTCAGTAATTGTGGCACGTGGGCTCAGTAGTTGTGGCTTGTGGGCTCTAGAGCACAGGCTCAGTAGTTGTGGTGCGTGGGCTTAGTTGCTCCACAGCATGTGGGATCTTCCCGGACCAGGGCTTGAACACGTGTCCCCTACATTGGCAGGCGGATTCTTAACCACTGCGCCACCAGGGAAGCCCCAGACATTATTCTTTTAATGTCTGGTTATATGGTTGAAGAATTATTTGCAGCCTACCTTGTGGGTACTTCACCCTTAATAGGACTCTTACTTTCGTAGGAGATAAGAGAGAACTTGGATCAGTTTGCTCTGTGGATACCTTTAGGGTTTTGGTACATGATTAGGCTCCTTCTATTAGAGAAAATCAAGAGTCTAGATATGATAAGGTTTTCTTGGGCTCGAGAACCAGGTATCTTGTCACACATGCCTGCTGGTTTGACTTTGAGAGCTAACCTACAAGTTAACATTTGTGAATGATGTCTGAAACAATCTGAAACTAACAAGTGTGTGACAGCTCTGATCCATTGACAACATTTACATAGTGAGGGTGAAGACATCTGGGGAGCCTGTTGGGAAATGACCCTTTTGGTGCTGGAATTGTTAAAGGGGTGTCCTGGGTACATTTTCAGAGCATTGGGACTGTCTCTCTGTTTGATGTTCTGAGTTAATCTTATGTCCTAGGTTGATGTCAGTATTTTTCAGCCTTCAGGCTCTGCATACAGACGACCCCCTCACTTGGGATTATGTGGCCCGCCGAGAATTAGAGATCGAGTCACAGCCAGGAGAAGAGCCGCCCACAACGAAACAAACCAAAGTGGCAGAGGTGGGCCGCCGGGAGGAGAGGTGCTGTGCTGTGTATGAAGAGGCGGTGAAGACTCTGCCTACAGGTGAGCTTCACCAGGCCCTGTGTGCTGAGGAGTAACGGTGTTCCTGAATATGAATCTGAAGCTCCATTCCCATGACCAGAATCCATTTCTGGAACCTCTCTGTGGTAGTTTACAGTGTGCCTGGCTTTTCCAACTTGTTCTTTCTCTTTTATGACCTTCCTCGATAGCTGTGGCATTTGTTCATTTATTTGGGGAAATAAATGATACTTAGGATGTGATCATTCAGAAGGTTGTTTCATTATCATTACTTAATTATCTTCTATTATAGATTTACTTGATAATTTTGTAATATTGGAAAATAAAGGTAAAGGGTGCATGACATGGATAAGACTTTAAATTTTTGTATTTATGTCACTACTCAGTTGTTTGCCCTCAGTATTTGAGATGTTTGATAGGCTGTAATCAGAATAACTTATATTTTTCACCAGACTAAACCAGTTTAAACTCTTCCTCAGAGGAGTTTTCCCTTCAAAGAAAAGATGTACGATGACTGTTAAACTAAAAGAATTGCTGGTCTGATCAACATAATCCCTCTGATTTTTCCAGAGGCCATGTGCAAGTGTTACATCAACTTTTGCATGGAAAGGTTTGCTAAGAAGACAAGCAGTCGGCACCTCAGAGAGAAGGTATTGACTTTGTTATGTGGTTACAGTGGCTGACTAGAAAGTGTCTTCTGAAAGAACATAGGCACAGGTTTTTGGGGTCTGAGACAGCTTCCAAGAACTTGTTGCATAACCATTCTTTGTCCTTTGAATGACCTGTCATTCTGAAGGTCTGAGTCTGCTTTGCCCTAGTTCTGGCCACCAGGTAAGAAGGTCCTCTCTTCCTGGGCTGTGCTTGGTGCCACTGCCCAGATCATTTAATCATAAGTGAAACCACCTCTGTCCCTTCTTTCAATTCTCAGAAAGGTGTAAAACTGCTTTCGTTCCTGTCAGAGGCCAAAGACCCCTGCTGGGAGCTTTGTGATGAACTGAGAGATTTTTTTCTGATTTCAGAGGCTGGAAAGAACCATGGTTGCATTCAGGAAGGCACATGATCTCAAACTTCTATCAGAATTCCAGTACAAGCAGTGGGTAAGAACCTGGACACATTCAGTGTCAATTACATGTACTTAATTCTGGTTGGTTCAGGCTGGTGTCATGTGTTTTAATATATATAGTTTTATGACTAAGCACATTTGGAAGATTGGCATGGTAGATGTAGAGAGTGTTTATTATTTGGCTGTCAGTATTTAGTGTGTGCCAGAAATGAAATCTGTACCAGTAGAGGGAGGAATATTGTAATATATAGTGGAAAACACGCAGAACAGAGTCACAACTGGGTGTATTTTGTTTGTCCATCCATTCATGTTTTCCTGAACCTACGCTTGGCTCAGATTAACCGCTGGTACAATAAAGACAAATTAGATGTGTTCAGTGTTTTAGAAGCTGACATTCTAGTAAGAGGCATATTAACCCATCCTTATACTCTGAAGTGGGTAAGGATTATTATATAGAGACCAGAATAATGTAGTGTGGGAATACACAGGTCTAGACTGGGTTTTGTGACTTAATAGGTAGGTAATGGGCAAACCACTTAACCCTTCTGAGTTGGTTTACTTGATTTTAGAATAATGATAGTGATCCTTGTTTTTGCCACCTCACAAAGTTGTTGATAGCATTCCATGAGATGGTGAATGTGTTAATGTATTTAAATACTTTCTTAGTGGAAAAAAAGGACAAAAATCTTTATATTTATTGAATGCCTTTTATTTGTATAACTCTTAACCTCTTTTGATTTATATAATTTACACAATTTTTATGTAATTGCAATTAATGTCTTGCTGTTTTGTACTGTGTTATACTGTTTTTACATTAACATTTTTTCTATACTTTATACGTAGATTGACATAAACTATTGATATATATTAGTAGCGTATTGTATTGTACCACGACTGGGTACCCTTCTTCCATCATGGAATCTATCTGTGAAAAATCCCAGGCCTGATGAGTTCAGCTGCTCTGTTGGAGCTACTGAATGCTGCTGGCAGGACAGTCCGTCCCACCCTGTGAATTCAGCTGGGCGTGGCTTAGAGTGCCTTGGCAGTCCTATTCTCTTTCCATTATTAGTTTCTTTTGGCATTCTGAACTTGGATTTCCTTTCGGATCCAAGCTTTCTATCATCTTCAGCTTCTTGCACATGCTGGTGGGAGAGTCTTCTCTTTTTCCTGGGGATCTCTGCTTTCACCTAATGCCTGTTCTTCCTTAAGTCTCAGCATAGATGGGGCTTCCTTTCTGGGAGTCCTTTCTCATCACTGCCAAAGATTCTGTTGGGTGCTTCTGCTTTGTACTCCTGTAGCATATGATTCTTTTTCTGTGATGGTACGTATCAGACTCTCTGCTACTAAATTGGAGGCGCTGTAGGGAATGCACCTGACCTCCTCATTATTGAGTCTAGACTGTATAGCGTGCAATTAACATGCTTGCTGAATGAATGCATTATATACTGCCATTTACTTGCTTTTTTACAATTTTGTAGAATTGGATTGGTTTTAGGTTTTTCTTTCCCTGTTACAGTAGTGTGGACAGAAGCATTTTTTTTTTTTTTTTTTTTTGCAGTACGCGGGCCTCTCACTGTTGTGGCCTCTCCCGCCGCGGTGCACAGGCTCCGGACGCGCAGGCTCAGTGGCCGTGGCTCACGGGCCCAGCCGCTCCGCGGCATGTGGGATCCTCCCAGACCGGGGCACGAACCCGCGTCCCCTGCATCGGCAGGCGGACTCTGAACCACTGCGCCACCAGGGAAGCCCGACAGAAGCATTTTTAAACAGATATTTCCCCCTGTTCATTTATTTGTTGGGTCATATTTGTTAAAGTAAAATTCCCAAGTTTGTGGCATGAACAGTCTCATGACTCTTTTCAGAAAAATGGGTACCAGTTTATAGTGTGCCCAACTCTGTTTGAATGAATAAACTTGTTTCTTTACCATCCCACAAATACTGGTGGTGGATGTGGGTTTTATTATAGTGAACTATTTTATTAAAAATATAACTTTCAACCTAAATTATTTAGGCCATCTGCTTTTCACTTATTATTTTTTTTTTTCCACTTATGTTTTTTTGATAGCCCTTGGGGATAGGAGCAGGGAATGGAGGAGAAATTCCAAATTTTTTACTTTGTGCCTGTTTGGCCACCATGGTGAAAGGTTTAGAAGAAAGGCTGTTGAATCTATTGCCTCGCATGAGGTCTTTATTTGTCCCCATTTCCATAGATAATGTAGCTCTCAGTAGATACTTTTCCAATGACCCTTTGTCTTATCCAGAGCGAGTTGTTGCTGCACCATGACTTCCTTACAGAAGCTCTGGAGGTGGCAGGAGCCGGGATGGAATTGTTCAGAGGCTCTGTGATGATGTGGCAGGTGAAGCTGCAGGTCCTGATTGCCTCAAAGAGCCCTGACGTAGCCATGCTTTTTGAAGAAGCCTTTGTGCACCTGAAACCCCAGGTCTGTGAGTTGTGTCTTTTGTATTTCATTCTGTTTGGGAAACCTTTTAAGACTGCAGCCAAAGCTCATCTGGAGTAGACTTGTCTAAGGAAAGCTGGCCCCAGAGTGCATTTGTGATGATGGTTCAGGGATCATGGGTGGAAGAATTACTTCCATTTACCAGCCTATTTCTAATTCATTATTTGAAAGTCGACTAAATTATGTAAACTTTTCTATTCCTGTTTATATATCTTATAAGTGAGAAATACTAATAGAATATTATTTCTAAATTTTAAAGTTTAAAAGACTAAACCTTAAAGCTTTGTAGTGACTCTTTTATACTAGTAGGAAAAAGATATTCCAGGAGTTAAAATAGGGGGGAAAAAAATCATAGTTATTTTACCGCTCATTTGTATGTGCTGCTGGGACATGAACAAAGGCTAGATAGTTCAGCCTAGATTAGTTAGCACTTGTGTTGTGGTCCTACACAGCACAGACGTGACCTGGGTAGCTTGGGTCTGACTAGTTTTGGGTTGTTAAGTGCTTAACTTACTGGTAATTGATGATAATAACTTTAGGCAGTATTCCCCAACAGGGGGAAGTAGAATTAACAGGAGAGTATTGCTTTGGGCAACTGGGTCCGAAGGCTGTCTGTGTTCCGGTGTACCATTCCTGCCAAGCACTGAGAGTTCTGTACAGTGGGGCAGACTGGGAATGACTCTGTATTGCACCTATTGATTATCTCAGGAGGAACCTGTCTTTATAGTGACGAGTTTTCAGAGCATAGCGCTAAGATGTCATTTTCTAACCTTTTTTTTTTTTTTTTAAATTGTGAGCAGATTTGTCTGCCATTGTGGATTTCTTGGGCAGAGTGGAGTGAAGGTGCCAAAAGCCAAGAAGACACTGAAGCAATCTTTAAGGTACAGGCCCCCTGTTGTAAGTCTTGTGTGTGGGGAATGAGCAGGTAGCCCTGCCAGTTGGCTAGCTTTCAAAGGGTTATTTCTAAAGCAGGTGCTCCCTTTAAAGCACTATTCATTGCATGGCCTGGGATGGTTTTGGGAAAATTTGTTTTGATATGTAGACATTTCCTCATGTAGCTTGTTTCTCTTTTCTTTTAAATTTTAGAAAGCTGTCTTAGCTATCACGGGTGGCGACTCAGTCACTCTGAAGGATAAGTACCTGGATTGGGCTTATCGAAGTGGTGGCTACAAAAAGGCCAGAGCTGTGTTTAAAAGGTACTCACAGACACGCATAGCTATTATGAGTCTCTCAACCCCCTTCTCAGCCCCTCGTACCCAGATTATATGAATCACAAATAGATGGAGGAATAAATCCAAGAGCTGTTAAGTTCATACCCATTGTGGAAATTTTTTAAAAAAAGAGAGAGAGGTAACTAATAATTCATTGTAGTCCTATCATCAAGAGAAAAACCGTCCTAATGTATCATTTTAAAATTTGTTTTTCACATGTCTGAGATTATGCTATAATCGCACGTGGTGTACCACTTTTATTGATGAACATTAGACTGGCCTTTTTCCTACCAGTTACAATTCTTCATAAATAACATTTATTAAAAACAGTTATATGATATACCGCCCTGTGGACGTGCCATGATTTATTTGGCCACAGTAACTGCTTTGATGAACCTTTGTGCACAAATATTATTTGTCCGTATTGGAAATTATTTTCTTAGAATATATTCTTAGAAATGGAGTTCTTGGTCTCCTTCAAAAAGACCTTGAGATGAAGGAGAGGGAACTTAAAACCCTGAGAGTGAGAAAGAAGAGAACAGGAAGAGAACTGGGTAGGTGTTTGGTGGTGGTGAAGAGTAAAGGCACTGGAGATTGAAAATGGTGAGTGACTGGTAGCCAGGTCCAGTCGCCATGCTGAACTGCAGCCAGGACTTTATCCAGCTACGTGTGGCGGAGGCACTGGCGCAGGTGTTTATATTTATGCGATGTAAGAGGCTTTCTTCACTGTGGAAGATAACGGTTCCCCCTGTTCCTTTTTAGTTTACAGGAAAGCCGTCCATTTTCAGTTGATTTTTTCAGGAAGATGATCCAATTTGAAAAGGAGCAAGTAAGTGTCCTGTCTATGCATTTTTTGTCTGGGAATATGGATTAGTGCTAACTAATCTATGGCAGCACTTTGTTATTTAAAAAGCTCTCCTTATAATACAGTATAATTTCTGGTCCCTTCCTCCAACCCCTTTTTCATAGATGTGGCTTTAGGAATGGTAATCAAGCAAAGAAGAAAAGGTATACATGTCTGGAAACTAGACAACTCAGATGTCACCTCTTACAGGAAGTCCTCCCTGCCAGGCTGTGTGAGGTGCTGCTTTTCTGCCTCCAGTGCCCTGTCTGTCTCTTGTTTTGGGTTGTGAGGTAGAGAGTAGGCACTCGTAACTGTTTCTGGTGTTCTTTAACTGAACTTGTGAATGAGAAAAAATACAGGAAAGTGTCAGTTAAAAAAAAATTATACATGAAAGTCCAAATATATCTGTAATCCCCTCGCAATAACACAACCGATCATATTTATTTTAATTTTTGTTGTTTTCTTTAATCCTTATTTACATACATATGCACAGTTTTATGATGTTTTATTTCTGACTTACGTGACATGTGGAGGTTCTCACTTTTTTTTCCTTAACATCATTTTGTAAACACATTCTTGTGTTTTTACCTGGCATCATTTTTAATGGTTGTTGTATTATTCTTAAACCTGTAGTTTTCTTAACCATTCCATTACGTTTAGGTTGTTTCTAGATTTTTGATATTGAAAACAGCGCTGCAAGCATTTTGCTTATATAGTTTTTTTTTTTTTCTTCTCTTTTGAGGACTGGAGATACTGGCTTTTTTGGTTTTTTTAAAATGTTTATTTATTTATTTATTATTTATTTTGGCTTCGTTGGGTCTTCATTGCTGTGCGTGGGCTTTCTCTAGTTGCAGCAAGCGGGGGCTACTCTTCGTTGCGGTGCGTGGGCTTTTCATTGCGGTGGCTTCTCTTGTTGCGGAGCACGGCCTCTAGGCGCATGGGCTTCTGTAATTGTGGCACGCGAGCTCAGTAGTTGTGGCTCATGGGCTCTAGAGCGCAGGCTCAGTAGTTGTGGCGCACGGGCTTAGTTGCTCCACGGCATGTGCGATCTTCCGGGACCAGGGCTCCAACCTGTGTCCCCTGCACTGGCAGGCAGATTCTTAAACACTAGACCACCAGGGAAGTCCCTATACTGGCTTTTTAAATGGTTCTTTACGTATTGCCAGATAGTTCTATAAAAGTTATACTTATTTATAGTGATAATCACCATGTATATATATCAGTATACCTGTTTCCTCCATACCTTCTCCAAGTGTTCAGTTTCGCCTTCTCTCTTTTATTTTGGTATTTTGATTGGTGTTTACTTTTTTACTTTTTTTATTTGCCACACTGCGCGGCATGCAGAACTTCCTCGACCAGGGATTGAACCCATGCCCCCTGCAGTGGGAGTGTGGAGTTTTAACCACTGGACCACCAGGGAAGTCCAGGGATTGGTGTTTATTATTTTTATTTGAATTTTGAAAAATTAACAATGAAGTTGAACTCTTATTTTCATAGGTTTGACCATTGTGTGGGTCAGTGATCTGTTCTTGTCTTACAGTATAGGACTTAGTCTAGCATAATAATTCATAGCCAGGCTTTGGATTAATAACACAATGGTTATGTGCCTTGGGCAGGTCACTTAATTCTAAGCTTCGACATCCTTATCTGTAAAGGAGGTCGGAATACCTGTTCCAGGGGTGTGAGGGTTACAAGGCCAAATGGGAGACCAGATGGAAAGGACTTTGCACAGTTCCATGCACACTATGAGCCCTTCACAAAGTGTGATTCTGTTTTTCATGCATGTGTAAGATGTGAGGTTAAACTGGCTTTTTATAAAATAGTACAGTCTCAGCGAAGAGAAATTGGAATGAGGAAATAGTTATTTGACTACACAAAAAGATTTTTAAACTGAAGATGTTAATTAATCTGCTTTGAAAATGAAACAAAGAGAATACGTTTAAATGGAAGTAGAGGTGAAGAATTAACAGGTATTGATTGTAAAGTTAGCACTGTCTACTCTGCTTGGTGCATAACTCATCAGCATTTTAACTGAATCCTTGTAGTTGTCCTAAGAGATATTATTGTCCTCATTTTATGGGTGAGGAAACTTTAAGGTCTGTCTGATGGGTTCAGAAAACTTCCTGAAGTTCATATAAGTAGTATTTATATATATTTTGCCTTGATATAAAAAGTTTTAAGGTGGGTATGGCTAACATGTGCCAGAGCCCAGATATTCAAAGGAAGAAATCCCTTACCAAAGGGAATAGAACCTTCCCCATTTATTTATTTAAATCCTGCTCCTCCCTCAGGGCTTTCACGTATATTTTCCCGTGGAGGTGCCCATGTTCCCCCAGGTGAGAATTAATTAGGTTTTTTCCTTGCCACCAAAACAAAGTGCATTTATCACTGTTTGGCGTTTACTTCACTCTGCCATGTAGTGTCTTTGACTTTTCTCTGGATAAGTTCAGAGTCAGGCTGTGTTCATTTAAACCTATCTCTCCTCCCCTTCAAATGCCTAATAGTTGATAGCTGCTTAACAATACGTGGGAAATGAATTTGTGACGTTATAAATTAGGCTTTTGAGGCAAGATTGTCTGATTATTTTTGTTAGGAATCCTGCAAGATGGCGAACTTAAGAGAATATTATGAGAGAGCTTTGAGAGAATTTGGATCTGTAGATTCTGGTAAGTAAACTTCAGTTATAGACACATGGGTCTGTTTGCATGTGTGGTCTGTAACCTATGATGGTTAGAATAGTGGTTCTTAACTGCTTTGGGGTCATGGGCCTCTTTGAGGATAAAACTTGGCATCCTTCCCCTGCCTCCTCCCTCACTCAGTGCATAAATGCTGGCAGACATAATTTTGCTTATAATTTCAAGTTCACAAGCCCAGGTATCCATGGGTCTTCTGTTAAGAACTCTGGACTAGAAGGAGGTTCGTTTGGTTTGGTTTCCTTGAAAAATGTGATATTTGTAAGGAAAAGGTTAATAATGTAGGTCAGAACAAAATGGGGTGGGAATTACAGCAGAAGGGTAGTGGGATACTAATTGACAAAGATTGTCATGGGCTGTTGCCACATTGTCTGTATCTAATTTATAGGACTTGTAAAACATACTTCTTGGTATAGGTTAAGTCATGTAAAGTCTGTTTACTTGTGAACTCAAAAACTGACATGTAGAGTTGTTAAACTCAGATTTAAAACAATACATTAGCTTTTTCAAGGTTTCAGCAGACCTTCTGGTGAAATGAATGAATATGGCATTTTTACTAACCCAAGCAAGTTTTATTAAGCAGACTGACAAGGTCCTAATGAACTCATTGAGGTCTGTTTCACCTTGAAAGAGATTCAGCAAAATCCTTCCTCTACAGTATTTAGTATTTTTGAGTTTATGAAATATATAGACTGTCATGATTCTTTCTTTTTAAAGTGAAAGCAGTTTTCTTGAGAGATACACATTCTATAGTAGAATGTGGGCTGTGTCAGAAGGTGAGAGCACTAGACTGTCACGATCCAAGTGAAGATTTCTACTTTAAAAAAAAAAAAAGGCTTTGAAATACCATAGTGTAAAGAAGCTGAGAGAGGTATTGTTTTCCATAGGGTTCTAGGAAAATAACAGCAAGAAATTATTAAGTTTCTTAGAAATCTTGCATTGAATTGATATTAAATAATTAAGTTTATGTAATAAAGCCTTGTCAGTTACCTAATTGTATGTTTACAGTAATTTTTGGGATTCCCTTTAAAGATCTTTGGATGGATTACATCAAAGAAGAATTGAACCACCCCCTTGGTAGACCTGAGCACTGCGGACAGATCTACTGGCGAGCCATGAAAATGTTGCAGGGAGAGTCAGCAGAGCTGTTTGTAGCTAAACATGCTGTGCACCAGGCCGGCCAGCTGTGAAAAGAGGAAGAACACAGCCAACTTTGTGAAATAGTGTTGTAAGCCCTCTGCATAGTTTTGTATTATGCATTCATCTGCAGTTTGCTTAGATGGCAGACGAGATGGTGTCTGATTTTGAGACATGCTTTAATTTTGTTAATGCGCTAATCTTTAATTCCAGAAAAGAGAACTGCTGTTTAGTGGCCAGAGGCCAATTGTTGAGGCCAGACCTACCATAGGTCCTAAATGTTTTCCAAAATACATGGAAATCGCATCACTGATCTTCTTTTATTACCACTGGTCAAACTTGAGTATCTCTAATCTAGACCCAGGGGTCAGTTAAGATAGAGAGGAAAGTACAGTTCTGTTTGTTTATTTTCTCTTTATTATAAAAGTATATGTGGGGGCTTCCCTGGTGGCGCAGTGGTTGAGAGTCCGCCTGCCGATGCAGGGGACACGGGTTCGTGCCCCGGTCCGGGAAGAGCCCACATGCCGCGGAGCTGCTGGGCCCGTGAGCCATGGCCGCTGAGCCTGCGCGTCCGGAGCCTGTGCTCTGCAACGGGAGAGGCCACGACGGTGGGAGGCCCATGTACCACAAAAAAAAAAAAAAAAGTATATGTGGTATGCATTTGTTGTCGAAAATATGGGCGGAATAGAATAATGTGGAAAAGAAAATAAAAGCATTCTGTAATTTTATTATCTGGACTAAAAATCACTAATTTGATTTCCTTTATTAGAATTGAATTTATACTGTTAGATCATTTACTCATTCATTCATTCATTGAGTGCCCGTCATAGGCAGGAAAGAGGAGAAGCTTTTTGGGATGGAGGTAAGGGTTGGAGGAACAGAGCTGGATGTTCTGAGTTGGTTGAAGCAGCAGAGAAGGATGCTGGGTATTGGGGGAAAAGTTGTCCTTTAAGAAGATTTAAGTGATTATAAAAGTGTGTTCTATCTCTGGGACCGATCTGCAGAGAAATGTTTACATTGGGGAGGCCCAGCAACAAAAGAAGGGCAGGGGTAGGGAGTAACTTAGAAAGAGAAGGGCTTCAGAGGCGAGGATGGAGGATGGCTTGGAGTAGAGAAGGGCGTTCTGGGAGCAGGGGAGGCAGTTGTTTGAATTGTACATTCTGTAACTTAACATTACGATGCTGTCACTGGGAGAAGCATTCAGTTCAGTTTTACTTACTATTATGTTTCACTTAATATTATGGGTTTTTTTCCATGTCATTAAATAGCCTTAAAAAGATTTAATGAATTCAGAACATTCCATTGTATAGATGAGGCATGACTTATTTTACTAATCCCCTATGGTTGGACCTTGTCATTTCTGATTTTTTCTTGTAAGTACTGTTGGTGAAGATTCTTGTAAATCTTTGTTAACATCCCTGGTTATTTCTTTAGGAGACTGACATCTGACAGGAGAATTACTGTATTAAGGGATATAACTGTTTTAAAGAATATTGATAAGTGTTGCCAATTTGCAATGTATGAAAATACTTTCAAGCACTGTGGGTATTATATTTCTTAGTTTTACCATTTTAATAGGTGAAAACTGATATATCCTTGTTCTAATGTGCATTTCTTTGATATCAGTGCAGTTAATGCATTTTTCCTGGCTCTCATGTCTTTTCATGTTTGACTATTTTTTGACCTTTCTTTTTTTTACTAATTTATAAGAGTTTTTAATGTACTAAGAATAGTAATCTTTAGTTCTTCTCTTCTTTTTTGCAAATAATTTGCCCCCAGCTTTTTTTTTTTTGTGGTGTTTTTTGAGGTCCAGAGGTTTTGTATGTATGATTTCTATTGTTGAAAACCCTACCTCTTGCTGAGGACAACTCAGTATTTTTTCCCCTATGCAGTTAATTAAATTTTCCACAACACCGTTTGTAGCCATTTTTGTCTCTGCTGATTTGTAATACTACCTTTATTATATATTAAATTCCTGTGAATATTAGAGTCTATTTTAGGGCATCTTTATTAGGAGCTTTTGTACCCAAAATGGTGTGTGTGTGTCATTTGTTTTAAAATAAGAAAAATCTCCTCTTTCTCCTCTCCGTTAAGTCCCAGGAAGTTCAACATTTAAATCCTTAAAGGGCTTTTTTATTTTAGGAAAGAGATACATGTTGCACATAAGAGATGAGAGTAAAGAGGGTGGTGGGTGATTCCTTAAAGCAGCAGTCCCCAGCCTCTTTGGCACCAGGGACCGGTTTTGTGGAAGACAGTTCTTCCATGGACGGGGGCGGGAGGGTGGTTTGGGGATGATTCAAGTGCATTACATTTATTGTGCACTTTCTTATTATTACATTGTAATATATAATGAAATAATTATGCAACTCACCATAATGCCGAATCAGTGGGATCCCTGAGCTTGTTTTCCTACAACTAGATGGTCCCATCAGGGGGTGATGGGAGACAGTGACACGCGAAGTGTGTGGCTTATGTGCAGTCTACTCCGTGAGATGCAGCTTGTCATTTGCCACTCACTGATGGGGTTTTGATATGAGCCTGCAAGCAACTGATTTATTACGGTCTCTGTGCAGTCAAACCTCTCTGCTAATGATAATCGTATTTGCAGCCGCTGCCCAGCGCTAGCATCACCACCGCCGCTCCACCTCAGATCATCAGGCATTGGATTCTCGTAAGGAGCGCACAACCTAGATCCCTCGCATGCGCAGTTCACAGTAGGTTCCTATGAGGATCTAATGCCGCTGCTGCTCTGACAGGAGGTGGAGCTCGGGTGGTAATGCGAGCGATGGGGAGCGGCTGTAAACACAGGTGAAGCTCCGCTCACTGGCCCGCTGCTCACCTCCTGCTGTGTGGCCCGGTTCCTAACAGGCCACGGACTGATAACTGGTCCGTGGCCCGGGGGTTGGGGACCTCTGCCTTAAAGCAAGGCTGTGAAGGTGGGTCACCCTTGGGTCATCACGCCCTGTACCCGGTTCTAACCACTGCAGGTAATGAAAATGCATGTAGCCAGTTGACCCAGAGCTGCACTGTTAGGGTGGCTTCCAGCCACGTGTGGGAACTTAAATGTATTGAAATTAGATAATTCAGTTTCTTGTTTACAACCAGCTGCATGGTTACCATACTGAACATCACAGATAACAGAACTTTTATTTCCACCATCAAATAAGGTTCTATTGGACACGACCTAGGTCCAGTTAGATTTGGGGAAACTAACTCATGGGTCAGAACAGAACACACATTGATTGGTCACATTCTCTTCCTTGTAGGAAAGTCTACATAGAGAAAAAAATGTATGAACTGTTAGGCTAAATTTTTTCAAATGTGTATGTATAAACACACTCTTTGAGGGAGATGAACGGATAGGCTAATGTCTCAGATTGTCATAAGGTGGCCTGGTGAGCAAGGACTCCCAGCTTCCAGCTTTTCTGCTATTTAAAGATTACCATTATCACACCTTGAGCAGATTTGTTATTGGAGTTCAGACAGTGCAGGGAAGGGCAGGGAAAGCTGTCTTTAGAGTTTGGTTTATCCCCAGCCCGGGCACTGCCTAACCTCTGCTGGTATCGGCGCCCAGGTGAGACTGTACCGGCCCAGCACAGAATGTTTAGGGTTACTATGACCAATTGTCGTAGCCTATAGGGTGCCTGGAACGTTGGAAGAGTTTGTTTTGATCATCCAACCTGGTTACTAATGGGTTAACTTTAAGAACTGACATTAACTCAAGGTGGGGAATCCTGGGCTCCTGAGTTGTCTCATCCATTTGCGGGTGAGTAATAGTCTTAATTCCAGACCGAGTTCTAGAGAAACCTGTTTAAAGAGTGAAATGGGGTTAGAGCTACAGTTGCATGAAAAGTTTTGAGAGCTGAGTTTTATACACTATCAGGTAGACGCGGGTAATCAACTATTCTAACAGTTTATGAAGCGGAAGCATGCGCAGTGTGGTGGCGTAGGGATAACACTTGGCATTCCAGACCCAACTAGTCGTCTAGCCCTGGGATCTGCATCGTCAGGAGCTACAAAAATCAGATTCCGGGACCGGTAGGTAGGGAGGGGGGCTTTCGCAGTCGGGCGCGCTCCGCCCCCTGCTCCGTCCCGCCCCTTGCCCCGGCCCCGGCTTCCTCGTGACCCCCGCGCCCCGCCCCCCGGCCGGGAGCACCCCCGGCTGATTGGCCCTCCGCGGCGTATCCTCCGGCGGGCAGCCAGGCCGGCGTGTCACGTGGCCGAGCGGCGTCCGGGGCGCGGAGCTGCGGGCCGTTGGGCATGGACTCTCAGATCGCCGGGGCCCCGGCGCTGGGGGCGGCGGAGCCGCCGCCGGGTCTGCCGGTGCTGAGCACGCGGGAGGCGCCCCCCCGCTTGGGGGTGAGCGCGGCGCGGGTCCTGGGCGCGGCTACCACCTGCGGCCCGGGGCGGGAAGTTGCGGGGCTCGCGGGGCGGGCTGGGCGGGGGCCGCGGGGAGCCGGGGAAGCGCCTCGGACCCGCCTTCTGCAGCCCCGACGTTTGGGAGCGCGCCCGAGCTGGAAACGGCCGGGCTGTGGGGCGCGGCACCCCGAGGACGTGGGTGGGCGCGCCGGGCCGGGAGGGCTGGCTGTCGGCCGCAGGGCGCCTGTGCGTCCTTGCTAAATGGGAGGTGATGCTGCTGACCCAGAGCTGGAGCCGCTACTGGGGGGCCTGGGCTGGGGCCAGGTGAGGGCAGCGAGGAGAGCGACTTTCCCTGAAGGGTCCGTGTCCCTTGGTGGGGATGCTCAGCTAAGCCTGCGCACCAGATGATGTCTCATGCGCTCTCGCCTTTTCTCTTCACTGAAACCAAAAGGCCGCGTTTGACGCAGGGTTTCCAGAAACGTGTTTTCATTTGCGCGCCAGACAGCTCCTGGCTTTTCAGAGACCGTTATTACAGTCATCTGCCCTTGTTTACAGTCAGCAATCCGTGTTAGAGGGTGAGCTCCTTGAGGATAGGAACCCTCTGTTTACTGCTGTAAACCCGGCGCCTAGCATAGTGCCTGGCACCGTAGACGCACATAATAATTTGATGGAGGAATGGAATGCTTGTCTAAGCATCAAAGATATCATATCTTAACCATAATATGAAAAATGTAGTGATAAGCTTATAAGGAAAATTACTTTGGGGTGCGGGTAGGATAAAACTAATTTTGTCAGAGCAGAGCAGGAAGGTTTGTGCACTTTCTCTCCAAGATGAGACGATGGTGGTCCTGGCAAAGGTGTGGAGATGAGGAAATGCGGGGCAAATGGCTGGGAGCTTGGGTCCCTGAGCTGGGAGAGAGAACTATGCCGCACAGGTTGATGGAGCGTGAGGGGGAGGTGTGGATGCCACGGCGAATTTTGTGCTCCAGCAGTGGAGGCCTGTTGAGTTTTTCATCAGAGGAGTCATTAAGCGTGTAAGGCTGTGCAAGATGGGTGAGTGGGAAGTCAGTTAGGGAGCTCTTGCGGTGGAAGAGATGAGAGGTCCCACTACTGGTCAGCAGGAGTGACCAGGAGTTGTCGCTGACTACAGGAGATGGAATTGACTCATTAAATCCAGGTAGGACTAGATCATGAACTAATTGGGGCAGGTGCCAAACGCAGTTTAGATGTAGGGGCAAAGAAGGTGGATTTCAGTTCAACAGATGTTATATTCCTGCTGTGTTTTCATAAATATTATCTCATTATAAACCTCCTGCAAGGTCAGAACAGTCATCCCCAATTTCCAGAGAAGGAAACCCAGGTGTGGTGGCTGAAGTGATGTGTCCAGGGTACACAGTGAATGAATGGGATTGAAATCAGGTCTTCTCATGCAGGCTGTGAACATTTCTCATCCCACTTAGAAAGAGGTCTTAACAGGTGATAGGATTTCAGGAACTTTTGAGTGATGGGAGCAGAGAAGCATACGGGTGGCTATGGGAGAAGACGATTTCCCTTCAACAACTAAAGCTCTGTTGTCCGCATGTGTCAGTCAGGAGACAGAGAATTTGATAAAGGAGCTGTTAACTAGACAAAAAGTTAAGTAACTGAAAAGGTAAAAACAGGGAGGCAGCCACTGCCGGGAAACAGCGGAACAAAGGGGTGAGTTTGGAATGACTGAAATGTACAAGCTCAGAGGAGAGGCTTTGCAGGGAGCTGAAATTCCAACCTCTGAGGAGGGGGCACTGTCCCGGCTAGTGCTAGAGTCTCCGAGCTTGGAGCAGGGGTCCTGAGGCCCGAGACTGAGACTGCTCAAGACAGGGCTCAAGAGGAGGCTGGCTGTGCACATGCTGGCAAACTGTGCACTGGATTCAGTGGCCACTCTAGGAAGACAGGCGATCCTGCTGGCAGGGGTGATGCTGACAGGAAGAGGAAGCAGCAAGGCCCAGTCGAACAGGGCACAGCAGAAATGTGGGTGGCAGAGTCCCTGCCCCAGCCTCACAAAGGAGGGTATGGAAGGGTGGGTGTGGGGGCTGAAATACTGGCCGTACCCGAGATATCCAAGTCCTGGGTAATTGTTTCTTCTTTCCGCAGGCTGCCTTTGCCCCAGCTGGCCGCTCCGGTCAGGAGAGAGAGACCGAGAAGGCTGCGGATCGACTAGGCAAGTAGGCAGCAGAGCCTGGGGTGGGTGTTGAGAGAGACCAAGGAGGTCTGTATTGTGAAAGCTTGTCATCTCCCAGAGGCCCTTTGCCTCAGTGGCATTTAAACTACCTGAAAACATAAACTGTGCCTGCCTTCTCATGTGAATGAAAAGAGCTGGTAATTAACGGCCTTATTTAAGGCAAAACATATTATTGAAAGTAAATGATCAACCCTACTTCTAAAACTGGAAACAGAACAACAGTTTTTAATAAGTGCTCCGGCGGCTGAGGAACTCTGCACACTTGTTACCGCTGCCCTCTTAGTAAGTCTGCCAGAAATCTCCCAGGTGCACGACTAGGCCCTCTCTGGTCTGCCAGTTATTTTAAGACCTCCTTCCTTTTGTCGATTTCTTAGCCAGCGGAGCACAGAGCATCCCTCATGATAGTCCTGCCCACGGTGAGGGCAGCCATTGTGAAGAGGAAGGCTTTGCTGTGGATGACGAGGATTCCGATGGGGAACCGAACCCCTGGGAGCTGTCAGAAGGGGTGTCCGGCTGTCCCCCCAGGGAACAGGCTGCTGATCTTTTTAACGAGGACTGGGACTTGGAGTTGAAAGAAGATCAAGGGAATCCATATGGTAGGTGTGGGGTTTTTGGGGTCCTAGGCCAGGCTTCTGAGACCCTCCTACACATGAACCCCGAAACAGTTTGGAAGAGGGACCCACATCCATGAGCTTAGCCTGATAGCTCTCATAGGTCTGAAATTTCTGTGACAGCTCCTCTTTCATATGGGGGGGAAAAAGTGCCAGTTTTGCATTTTATTATATAATGTATTGGTCCGTTGTAACATTGAAACAGTGTTACCATCTCCAAATATCTTTGTGTGAATCGAGTGGCTGTAGACAGAAGTGCTCTGTTCACCAGTTGCTTCCTCTGCGCTGCTAGGAACCGGTGTCTGAGAAGCAGGACTGTGGGTGGCGTCAGAATGAAGGTGCTTGGGATTCTCCACCAAAGGAGGACTGTGTGTGTGTGTGTGTGTGTGTGTGTTTGTCTGTCTGTCTGTCTGTCTGTGTCTGTGTGCGTGTACGTGTATGTGTTTAAGCAAAGACAGTGCAAGTGTCTGTCCCGTAGACATTTTTGGCTCTCTCTTTTCACTCTCCCTCCTTCCTTTAATCTGTCTTTTAAAACTGCCTGCAGATGCTGACGACATCCAGGGCTGCCTTTCTCAAGAGGTCAGACCCTGGGTGTGCTGTGCCCCGCAAGGAGACATGATCTATGACCCCAGTTGGCACCATCCACCTCCACTGATACCCCATTATTCCAAGATGGTCTTTGAAACGGGACAGTTTGATGATGCCGAAGACTGAGGGCATAGCTTTTGCCTGGTGAGTGGGTGGGCCCTCCAGGTCAACGTCTCCTTTCTTTGAGGTGAGATGTCATATCTGAGGAAACATTCCCAGTGAATCCCGAGTCGGGCACACAGACTGGTGTTAAATAAGGCCCTCTGTCCCCCAGTTCTGTTGTTGTTGTTGTTTTTAATGAGCTCCTCCTTGGAATGTGTGAGTGTTTATGTCTGTGTCGGGAAGGAATGGTGTTCTTTATAAATAAAAGTAGAAAAAAAACCCAGCCTGCTTTTGCCTACTTTTTTCCCCCCCTTTTTCATTAGAAACTTCTGAGCAAAGCCTCACTCCTTCATTTAAAGCCCCTCACTTACATTTTCAGGATTGATGTTGTCTGAGATGAAACTACTCTGTGAAAGAAAACGATACTTTAGTTTTTGCCTCTGTAGATCTGGCCCTATTGACCAGAGATTGGAACCCAAGAGACACTGGTGACTTTGCGGCTGACTGCTATTCCTGGTGATGGAAAATTGACCATTTACTTAGTTAACAAGGACTTTCTGTAGGCTGGAAAATGAAATGGCAAATTAATTAAACCAGCAGTTGTACAGCCCTCAATTGGCATAAAAGGATTTTACACTCTACTTTCCTTTTAATCCTTACAATTACTTACATGTCACTTAAATTTTTTTTTTAACCTCATTTGGGAGATGAGGAAAATAAGGCTCAAAATGTTTTGACCTCACCCAGATCACACAGCCAGGAAACAGCAGAAATGTGACCTGAACCCTCACATGACTCTGAAGTCTGTTCCCATGGTTGCCCGTGTGTGTGTGTGTGTGTGTGTGTGTGTGTGTGTGTGTGTGTGAGCCTGGACGTGGGACCTGGGGGCCACACCTCGGCAGGTCTGTGACACACCAGACCATGTCACCGTTGCCTCTTGGGCAGGTTGGGCTTTGCTTCTTACCTCCCTGCCTCCGTATTGAAGCTGAATCAAGAAAAAGTTTCAGACCTGAAATCCACAGCAGTTGGATGAACAACTAACCATTTAAGCTATTTTTCAGAGACCCCATAAAATGTGTGAATAAGGCAGCACCTTATGAGGGAGGGCAGTAGCTTTGGCCGTGAGGAGCTCTCATGGCCAAGGTTGTCCTAGGGAGAAAAAAATGGTCCCTTCCGCTGTCCTTGCTGGAGAGACAGTCGTAGACCACATCCCCACACCACTCTTGCTTTACTCCTCCCGGTGCCATGGCTGATTAGACCACGAGTGTGTCGGACGCGAAAAGGGGAACTTGAGAAATTGAGCTAAGAAACACTGAGGGCTTGAGGAGCGTGGCAGGGCTGCCAAATAGAAAGGTGGTGTAATGGACAGGCTACGTGGTGTTATGGACAGGCTGCGTGGGCCCATGTGCAATTATGAGGCAGTTGAAACCGAGTAAAAGAAGTCACGAGGTGGGGAGATTACACCTATGTCAGAGGGAGGGACGGAAGAAAGAGTAAGGAAAGTACACGTGCATGAGTATCTGAGCAAAGAAAATTTACAAGGTGCCGCTGCTGGGATCCATGGAATGGTTGTGAATTTAGACTCTCCTGCTTTTCAAAAGTTACTCTTTGCAGTTCCTCCCGGTTCTTTCCAGCAATATTCTGTTAGAGTTAAAGACATCAGAATGGCTTTCACAGCCAAAAGTTGTGTGTGTCAGGAGAACAAGAAAAGTGGGGAGGGGCTAGTCAATTGTTCTGATTTAGGTATCGTTCTGGTGCCTCTCCTAGGATGGATCAAACAGAGAAGGATGGAGATGGGTAACTCCCCAGGCTGTGAACACTGGTTCACAGCCTGGGGAGTTAAGTGGGGTGAAGTGCAAGTAAGAAAAAGAAAGCAGAGATGTGGAAAAATACTAATGATATAATAAGTGAAAATATAGACTATAAAACCACTCTGATAATATTGGAAACATGAAAAAATGGCATATGTAAGTGATAAGGATTAATATGGACAAATGGAAAGAATTTGATGAGACGGTGGAGGTGTTGGCAGTTTGCTTTTATATTTTTGTTATTTTAATATAGATTTTGCAATGAGGTATTTAAAGACAAGATGTTATCCTAAAACAGAGTTGCCTCCTCTGCCTAGTCTTCCCCATTCTCTCTGACAAATATCCCAACACTTGCCTCCCTTTGCTGCAATCACCGGCTTACGGGTCCACCTCCCTCCTTAGGGTGAGTGCTCCTTGAAGGCGGGACCACATCTTACTCCTCAGCACCCCTGTTTCATTGGAGCCCAGCATGAAAACATTCAGTAAATACTGGCACAAAATCAGTCTTCTTCAGCCATGATGCAGTATTTGCCCAGGCTGTGTTTAGGGTTGACTGACAACATCCCAAGCTGGTGATGAAAGAACAAGGTAGGGACTTCCCTGGAGGTCCAGTGGTTATGACTCCGTGCTTCCATTGCAGGGGGCACAGTTTTGATCCCTGGTTGGGGAACTAAGATCCCACGTGCTGCACGGCATGGCCAAAAAATAAAATAATTACCTCAGAAGGAGCCCATTCGTTGCTGGCTAGTGCTACTTATTGGAAAAGTCTCTCTTGTATGGAGTTGGAGTCTACCCATTTGGTGGTCGTGGTCTGCTCTGTGGTCCTGACACTCTTTCCAATGTAGGAAATGAGCACTCTTATCCTCTCTCTGGCTTTTCCTTTTCTAGGCCGTTGTAAACATGTGTCTGGAATCAGGGGGTGGGGGGAGGGGGAAGGAGGGGGAAGGGGAAGGGAGAGGGGACTGTTTGGGGGATTTTTGAGGTTTTGGCAGGCGTTGCAGCGTTGAGAGAGGTTGAACTTGTTCAGCGAGGGCTTGTGGAATAGAAGAGGGCCAAGGACAGCGCCCTGGGGAGAGTTAGCCATTACAGGGTAAACGGAAGAATCGGATCCCAAGGGCAGGCTGTGGCAGAGGAGGAGGAAAACCAGGTGAGTGTAGGCACCACTCAAGCCAAATCTAAGGAGAAGAGAGTTTTAAGGAAGAGGGAGTGGCCATCTCTTCTAGAGAGAGGCAAAGTAAGATGCAGGCTGGAAAGGTATTTTGGGATGTGGGAATCAGAAAGTGCTCAGAGAATGTATTGACTTGGGGCAGGTGCAGGGATGCGGACAGGGCATTGCAGGCTAACACATTTTGGGGGATGCACCTGAGCCTTTGGTGCTAGTGTTTCTCTTGGCTGGGGGGCAATGGTGACTTCCGGCCAGCTTCTCTCAGAATGCACAAGCCAGGCTGGAAGAGGCAGCCATGGGACAGAAAAGGAGGGACCAGGGAAAGGGACAGAAGTGGGCAGAGGCTGCTGGAGAAATAGAGGCACAAAGGGACTGTTCGGAGGAACAGAAGAGAAACTCTTATTCTGGCGTTTCTTTCAGACAATATCATTTACCAGGAAAGAAACCACAGCCGACCACTTTAAAAATCTTGGGTGATGGAAAAGAGAGGAAAAACGTGTTTACCGTGTGGCTGGATGACATTTCAGATATACCCTCATTTCTCTCCTGCCCTCTCTCCATGCAAGCAGGCTCATTGCCTTAGTGGAGGCATGTGACAGAGTCGAAAACAGCCAAGAAACTTTTTTAGTTTTGGTTTTACAAAAAGGGATTTTTAAATTAAAAAAAAATTTTTTTTTGGTGAGGAGGCAAGGGAGTTTGGGGCCAACAGACTATGAATCTTGTAGACATTTGGGAAGAAAGAATTTTCCCCAGGCCAAAAAAAAAAAAAATTCCTGGGCTATGAGAAGGAAGATGGAGAGAAGAGAGAGAGAGATCTGGAGACGCTAAGAGCAGATGGAATGATGAGCTCTGCTTCTTGGTGTGTCACTGGGGAGTTAGGTCCCCAGAGACTGATAGATGTTGGTTCTTCTAGGCGGTCAGGACCATCTGGCAAAAGGTGCCCAGGCCTTGATCATGCAGAGAACCTGATGGACCCAGAGGGGCCGTGGGACAAGGAGGACCCGTGAAGATGGATATTGGATGACATCATGCACTGCTTAAGGAAGTGAGAACCCCAGAAGGCCCAGATGGAAGCTCGGGGTCGGAAATTGGGATGGTCAGAGAGACAACAGTTTTGCTTCTTGAACCCCCAAAATGCAGGAGATGCAGAGTTAACAGAAGCCTAGATGAGAACGACTTACTGCTGGGGGCAGGGGACCAGGCCATCAGGTAGGTAGAGAATGGCGTATTGAAAGTATCATCATGGGTTGATTCATATCAGAGTGCTGGTAATTTTTTCTTCGTTTTTATTTTCTATCTGGATGAAAAACTTGCCATTTTTGTACTGTGGCAGAACAAACAGAATTGTGCCATTCACAATTTGTATAAGTGGTTTTGTGTATTATTATTTTCTTAAGTTACAAATGCATTGGAAATTTCCTGGGTACTCTTTTTTTTAAAATTTTATTTATTTTTATTTTTGGCTGCGTTGGGTCTTTGTTGCTGCGCACGGGCTTCAGCTGCGGCGAGCGGGGGCTACTCTTCGTTGCGGTGTTCAGGCTTCTCATTGCGGTGGCTTCTCGTTGTGGAGCACAGGCTTTAGGCGCGTGGACTTCAGTAGTTGTGGCACATGGGCTCAGTAGCTGTGGCGCATGGGCTTACTTGCTCCCTGGCATGTGGGACCTTCCCGCACCAGGGCTCGAACCCGTGTCCCCAGCATTGGCAGGCGGATTCTTAACAACTGCGCCACCGGGGAAGTCCCAGTTTTGTGTATTTTTGGTGGCTCTGGCGTGTTTCTGTCTGTTATAGCTTTCTTCCCTTTGGGAAGGTCTGGGGGAATGTACCCTTTCACCCCACCCCTAAATTAGTTTGGTGCTGTTTATAGTGGGGACGGTTTGGTCATCCTGAGACCCCAGGGCGGGGATGGTAGATGGTGCTTCCCCTAGCTTTCTCTCAGATGCCTGGGTGGCTGGGTGGGTTGACTGGGAAGGCTGCAGGGACCATTCTCTTTATATAAAGAAGCAGCTGGCTGGACTCTGCAAGGCTCCAGTGCCCTGAGGAAATCTGAGACTGTCTTCCAGGGAGACGGAAGCACACTCACTGGCTAAGTAAATATCTTGGCGCTGCACTGCCCTTGGTTTTCCGGAGTTTGCATTCTTGGGCCCAGCTTTTCACAGGATGGTTGGAATATGGAGAAAGAGGAAAAAACACAAAAAACACAAAAAACAACTCAATACTCTGGCTGCAGCCCATCTGGATTCTGCGTCCCAGTTCTCCCAGAGCAGATTCCCCACCCAAACAGCAGAACGCTGGATCTGGAGCATTCTGTGTGAGCGTGCACACGTGTGTGTGTGAGTGTGGCAGGCCCAGGAGAAGTTGGAGGGTGTAACAGGAGGGCAAGCAGCACGGCTGGCTCCCACTTTGTTGACTTAGCGAGTCTGGCTGCAAAGCCAAGGCCTTTGGAAAGAACGGCCTCCCAGCTTCCGGCAGTTTCTGTTGTGCTGGTTCCAGGACTGAGCTAGATCCTGCAGGTGCTGATGGGCAGGAGGAGAGTTCAGCTGGGTTCCAGGGCACCAAGGTTTGGAGAGTTCCACCAGGATTTGTGCTTGTTGCGGGCCTGGGGAATAAAACACAGCCACAGGGCTTCCCTGGTGGCACAGTGGATGAGGGTCCGCCTGCCGATGCAGGGGACATGGGTTCGTGCCCCGGTCCGGGAAGATCCCACATGCCGTGGAGCGGCTGGGCCCGTGAGCCATGGCCGCTGAGCCTGCGCGTCCGGAGCCTGTGCTCCGCAATGGGAGAGGCCACAGCAGTGAGAGGCCCGCGTACCGCAAAAAAAAAACCACACCAAAACAAAAAAACAAACAGCCACAGTTTCAGAAGGAGATATTTCTCTCCATCTTACAGGATTCTCTGGTCCTCCCCTTTGAGTCAGAGAGAGAAATTTCCCCAGGAGGCATGCTCCCACTTTCTGACCATTGCAAGGTACAGTTTGGCTTTCCTTTTTTTCTTTTTCTTCCCCCCCACCCCGTTTTCTGGTGAGGTGATTTTGATTTCAAAAGCCATTTCCTCTGACAGCTTCTCATTAGCTGTTGGACAAATGTGGCAGATATAAGTCAGAGCCATGTGTTTGGCAGCTCAAGGCAGGCGCCTGAATTTCTCCTGGCTGCCGCCTGTAGCGTTATTCCATTCGTCCAGCAGGTGGCAGTAAAGACCCATCGCTGCTCTGTCTCCTGCGTGACCCACGGGGAGGGAAGAGTGAGGGGCCCTGGAGGAGATGCTGAGCTTGCTCAGGGTTACCTTTCTGTCAGTGGGCTTCCTACTGGTTGGCAAGCTCACCTGTGAATTCATGGCAGGATTTACTCCTGATTTTATAGATGGGTTTTCTCAGAAAGTTACTGTGAAATTTAGGGTAAGAGTCCTCATTATCCCCCTCTCCCCTCCCCCAGCACCTACCCCAGAGTCTGGCATATAGTAAGTGCTTAATATACGCTTGCTGTGTAGAATTGATCTTTAGTCATCAGTTTATTTCTGAACACCTGCTATATACTACGTACTCAGCATGGACCTGGTTCCTGCTTTCAGGGAGCTCAGAGTCTAGGGGGAAGTTGATGACACATAAACGGACCCTTACGTTAGCACAGGAGAGCTACAAAAGCCCAGGGTATGGTGGGAACCCAGAAGAAGGGACCCCTCAAAGCAGACAGCCTAGAAGCTGAGTCCTGGAGGACTTGGCCAGGAAGTGGGATGGGGGATCGCCCAGGCAGAGGGAGCTGTGTGTGCAAAGGCCCCCGGGTGTGAGAGGTCTTGTGTGTTTGGGGACATGGTGAGGGATGGTCAGGTAAGCAAGAGTCCTTGGAAGCTATGCCAAGGGGATTTCAGGGTTCTTAGCAGGAACGTGTCCTGGGCAGATTTTCACTTTCGGAAGAACTTTCCAGTTCCTGGCGGCGACCGGTGGGAGGAGGCTGAGACTCAAGCCAGGGAGGTCAGTCTGGGGGCTGTAATGTAGTAAGAGAGGATGGGGACCTAAACTAGGGTGACAGCTATGGAGATGGAGGGGAACGAACAGATTGGGACTATTTATAGAAGTGGGGACAGATTGGCTGTAAGGGTAGAGCAAGAGACAGGAAAGAGTCTGGGAGGAGCTTGAGGTCTGTCCTGGCTTGGGCAACCAGGTGGATGAAACAGTCTCTTATGAATGAATGATCTTTAGATTCATAAGACCTTTCACAGCCAGTATTGTAAGAGGAAGGTGCTCCCTGTTCCGGACGTTCAGCTTTGCTCTCAGGGTTTGGAGGACTCCCCAGGGCTGTGTAGCCCTCCACCTTGCACTTCACCTGTGAAGCTCACACGTCCAGGGCACCCTCTGTCTTTCCTGTGCTCGGAGAGCAGATGCTCAGGAGATGAAACCTTCTCGCACATGGTGTGTGGGGTGGACACTCTGACTGCCTCCCTGACACCCGTTGCCCTCCTCTTGATGATCACCCCTTTCTCGTGTCTCTCATGGACCTTGGGGAAAGCTAACCCCACCCCCGGGTGTGGGGGTGGGGCATGGGGGTCAGGTCGAAGTTGACCTGTATATCTCATCTTCTGTATGAGTCCTAGGCCTGCTTAACAAATAACCATGACTCGGTGGCTTAAGACCACAGAAGCTTATCTTCTCGCAGTTCTGGAGTCCAGAAGTTCACAATCAGGTTATCGGCAAGGCTGTGCCCCCTCCAGAGGTTCTAGGGGAGTTTCTGTTCCTTAACCCCGTCAGCTTCCGGTGGCTGCCGGAATCCTTGGCTTGTAGCTGCTCAGCCCAGGCGCTGCCCCGCCTTCACAAGCCTCTCCTATTCTCTTCTGTCTCTTGTAAGGATACTTGTCATAGGATGTAGGGCCTACCTGGGTTATCCAGGATGATCTCATCACAAGATCCTTAACTTAATTGCATCTACAAACACCATTTTTCCAAATAAGGTCACATTCACAGGTCCAGGGATCAGGAGAGAGACATATCTTTTGGGGGGCTGCCATTCAACCCACTACAGCCTCTGTGGTTGGCAAGACAATGAAATTGGGACCATGATGACATCATTGAGCCCCTATGGGCCAACCCCAGCCTGCCTGCTCCAGGACTTGCAGTTATGTCATTCAATAAATCCTCCTTATTGCTTTGACGTGACTTTCCCCCGTCTCCTGCTGCTGAATGCCTCCTGACGGATATATGTGCCCATTGGAGTCCTGCATGCAGGCAGTTGGATGTGGGGAGGGATCACAGCGATTGGAATTCTCCTCTACTGGGCTCTATTGTTGACACTCTGTGTGACCTTGGGCAGACCACAGGCTCCCTGACCATCGGTTTGAATGCATAAATGGGGCCCTTGTCCCTGCGAAAGGCTCTTCAAAATGGAAGCCACTGTGGTTTCTGTTGTTATGGCCTCTGCATTCCAAGAAAGACGTAATAGAACTGGAAAGGGGCCAAACAATGGAGTGATGAAGGGCTTTTTACCATCAGGGCAAGCTCCACAGTGAGAATTCTCCAGCCGGGAAAGATGGAGGCTGAGGAGGGGACAGAACGAAAGTCTTTTGTATGATAAGGCATGTCCACAAGGCGGAACACACTTGTTCCTCAAATCCCAGAGTCCTTAGAAGTCTAGGGGGGTACTCCTGAAACTCTGAGGAGTTGTTTCAGGGCAAATGATAGGAAGCGCTCTTTTCAACGGTGGGACGGTGAACTGGAGGCATGTGGGCAGCGCGGTGTCCTGCGCGCGGCATCGGGGAGACCTGGGTTCCACTCCTGGCCCCAGTGGTGTGATGGGGAGCAATCCTCCTTTCTCCCTGAGTCTCAGAGTGCTCGCTGGTAAATTGAGGGGCAATAAGCCAGGAGTGAACTTCTACAGACTCACCACTGCCCTCCCCAACCCCCAGCGTTGACACCCCTGAGATCAGCTTCCTGCTTGTTACCAGTTTCTATCATGGGCTCACTGCAGAACCCCCGTGCATGCATGAGATCTTCTCTCCTCTCCCTTACTCCGAACCACGTAAGCAATTCTCTCCTACCTTTCCTACATCATCTATTTTGCCCTCCTTACCACTCTCATTTCTCCCATCTGAAAACAACCCTCCCATAATCCCACTTCTCTCTCTAGCTCCTGCCCACTTTCTCAGCCCTACTTTGCAGCAAAACACCTTGCAAGAATTGTCTGTGCTTGTCTCTTTTGCTCAATGAATCTTTACGAAATGAACAC